CTCAGATTCCTCTGTAAGAGAGCAGACATTTGAACCAAATACTGTTTACGATAAACAAACTAAGGATATAATAAACGCAAGGACATCAACGGTATTATGATGACTACATTTTTACTGCAATGTGAAAGCCCGCAGGTGATGGAGATTTACCGCTGATTACAGAACCGGCTTTCTGACAAGATGCGCGTTAAATATCGCATGCGATTAATCGTGCAGCCCTAATTTTTACCTTACAAAGCAGCACCTGACCGTGCAATCTCACTGCTGCTAGAGTGTCTGCCATGTAGTGAAACTTCAGCAACCCAAAGTATTTGGCCAAAAAAGCAAACAAAATGTAATTTTCGGGTTCAGGGGGCCAAATCATTGACCGACACGTTTTGACTTTGTCAGTGTCTTTTCTGTGCACACAATATGGATAAGCTACAAGTAAACATGTGACCAAAAATGGTAAAATACTTCACAGTGAACAAAAATTATTGAGTAGCAATACATAAAATTTGTAAAATATGTAAAAAAATATTAAATTTGTTCAGCTGAAATATCGAGAGTTGGCGCACTGCCAAAAAACTATACTATGAACAGCATACTGAGCTCAATTACTCAATGACCTAACTTTCACCAAAACGTTATTTTCCATTTAAATTTTAGGCTGAATAAAAACTTTCATTTTGTTAAATTTCATTTTGGTGCAAAAATATTGCCACGGGTTTGTTTTGCAGTTACTAAGGTGTTCAGGTTGGTTGTTTACAAGTGGGATGTTTTGGGAAGTGTTCGACAAGAAAAGTTAGCTATAAGCGAAGCTAAAAGAAAGCTTAACTTAAAGAAAGTAGCTAGTTACAAAAAAGTTCACAACTTTCTACAATTTAAACTACTTTACATTGTTAAATAAATGTAAAATAAATGAACAGATAGAACAGAACTGACTGAAAGAACCAAAAGAATGATTCATTCTCAAATCGGACATCGCTAGATCCAATTATAAAGAGATGACAGAAAATACCCAACGCACAATTTGATTTTGTAAATATTGCTTGATAAAATGAAAACTATCGCACTAAATTCATACTTAATTACTAAATTAGGTTTGCTACTAAAAATCTGCATCATTTTAAAACTAGCAATGCTACAACAGAGAAACATAGCTTTGCTATTTGCAGCAACGCTACACCCAACACTGTTTCAGGGTGGTTGCTAAGGCTAAAGGTTTGTTTAAATCCCAACCCTATGAGTATGAGTAATATTGATAGTGATGCTTGCCTTAGCAAGCACAACTAATTATTCAGTCGTGACATGCTGAATTCAAGGAGAAAATGGAACTGGAAAAATAAATGAGAAGGATTAAATTACCAATCACCCTTTCTGCAATGTTTGGCAAGTGGACAGGTCTTATGGGCCAGACATTTGGCAGATGAACATTGGCTAACGCTGAAGACACAGCAAAAGGGCTTAGATAGATCACAGACGCTTCTGTTCGTGCAAATCACACATATATTAGCAAAGGTGGAAAGCATTTAGAGGGTGTACTTGTCCAGAAAATGTCCCTATTAATTCTAATGTCAAGTACAAATGACTAAATATCACGCTTATTATCTACCGCTGCGGCTCCAAAATAGCGCATACAGTGCCTAGACTGGACTGCATAGAGGGTGACTGGCTCACATCAGCTGAAATATATATATATGTGAGATAAGGTGAACGGGGCTGAGGAATGAGAGATTAAACTCTTATAAGCCCATGACGTTTATCAAGAGTTTCCATCGGCCGGCTCAAAATGTTGTGAATTTCTGGGACTGCAAAGCCGCTCCTACAACAGATTGCAATCATGTCTCTCTGAGTTCTGTCTACCTGTTCAAAGTTACGGAGACAAGACACAACAACAAATCACTTGGGTTTCTGCAATGAATTCCAAAGCAGTCATAAGGGAAACTCACCCAAAAATGACAATTCGGTCATCATTTACACACTCATGTTGTTACAAACATTCTTGTGTGGAGCACAAAAGCAGCTATACAGCAGAATGTCCAGGCTGCTCTATTCCATACAATGAAAGTATGTAGCCATACAGGTTTGGAACAACATGAGGGTGAGTAAATGACAGAATTATCATTTTTTGGACATATATCTCCTTAAAAACGCTCACTGTGAAACCATCAACAACCTCAACTATTAACCTTTACTCAGAGCACATGCAACAGGAGGAGAAACATGGCAGTAGTGCTTGAAGCCTAAAGAGTTTGATTGCGCGGAATCCTCCTGCATTCTTCACATTTCAGCTAAGGGGCTCGGAGGGGTCATGGGGTCTGCGTTTAGAAATGAAAGATCACAGGAAAGAACACATGCTTCACTTGAACAATTTAGAGTCTCTATAGTTCTGGCTTTGTAATAGGAAGACAGTATAACAAGTATGAGCTTTATTAAGCATGTACAGGAATACAAGCACATGCCATCCAAGTACACAGTTGCTATGTTTTAGAGGAATGTACTTCCAGCAAGGCACCGAAAGAGAATCAATTGCCACTTCTGAAGAATATTTTTGAGGCAGAGGGCCCTCACGAGTCACGGGTGATATTTATTCACAGACAAAAAAATGGTAAATGAACAGAATGTCTCATTTACTGACTATTTGTGCAATTCATCTGGTGCAAACCTGTTAAAGCGTTAGTTCACCCAAACATTCTGTCATTTACTCACTTTCATGTCGATCCAAACCTGTATGACTGACTTTTTTTCTGCAGAACACAAAAAGACGCTATTTTAAAGAATAATAGGTCCAGACAACACTGGACCCAACTGGCTTTCATTTCAAACTATCCAACCCAAACTCATAAGAAAACATAACCATTTGGTGATGGTGATTTCGTATGAATTTGAACAATATAATTTGTATCGTATGTATGATTTTTAGAAAATCATTCACACAAATTAGCCACTAAATCGGCAAAATGTAAAATATTTATGAATGGCAATTGGATTGTGTTGAAATATCGTCTTTTGTGTTTCACAGAAGGAAGAAAGTAAGGTTTGGAATGACATGAGGAAGTAAACAATGACATGTAAACGATGACAGCATTTTAATTTTAGGGTGAAGTATCTCTTTAAATGTCCTGTAAAAGTCTTTCTGCCAATACTCCCGATGGGAAATGGCCCCAGAGTTTGGCTGAACAGACATTCCAACCCTTATCATTCATTCCTGATTCGATGAACTTTCATCTGCATGACTTTATCTGAGGAATACAACTCATTTTTACTCAATCAAGACAAGCATCGTCAACAAATTCCACACCGTCTGACTTGCGCACTCACTGAGATTCTTGTGTATCTTCCAAACTACATCAAGTGTTGGCTGAAGAAATACCAGTCCGAGTCAATTGATATTATGTTGTCAAGCGGGTTTAAAAACGATGCCCCTGAATGCAAGAAGTCAACACAGACATCACTAAAAGGTTTCAGCTAAGGACCACAGTCTAATCTATTACACATGTGACAGTTGGGTAATAGAACAAATATACACCACTCATCAAGCACACAAACACCAATTTGGAATATTAAAAATCAACGTAGACTGTGCCAGATAAAGTCCAGGTAGAAATTCACAACAGTTAGATCAAGAATAATCTGAAAATGATTTGTAAGCGCATCATCATGAGTACTGACAGTTCAATATATCAGCCAACGAGCCAAGTCAATTAAAAGACTATTTATTAATAGGATCTTTAGTAATTCTGACATCTGCATTGGCCAATAACTGTGCCCACTTAACAGATTAAAAGATGTATGACAATACATACTAAATACTAAGACAATACTAAATCAAATTCACTATAAGAAATAAATTAAATATAAAAAATGACTACTACTATTATCAGCCAGTAATCAGCCACGCCAATAATCTCCAATCATTGAATATTGGCCAATTAATGGCCTGAAAATATGGAATTTGCTAGTTCCCATTACAAAACACTGTAACATCTGGGGTCTGAAAACCCAGGGGTCTGAGTGGGTTGTTGCTATAACTTCAGACCATGACAGTATATACAACATAAATGAACATAACAGATTCACACTGTTTTTTATGAAAAGTTCAGTATATGTAAACAGCTACTATGGCCATATTGAACTACCGTGCAATAATAGAACAGGACTGGACCTCAAACCAGTTCTCCAGCCTGTTCTGAATGTGCAGGGAGTAGGTCGTCACCAGCTAGAGGATTTTTCAACCAAACTCAAAACTTCCTAATCAAACTGTATTTGTTTCTCTCTGTAACACAAAATGCCATTTAGGGCCAAAGCAAAAATGTTAAAATCAAAGAACAACTGGACTATACTGCCTTACGTCAAAAGCAATGTTCCAAAAAGGCTCAAGATTAATAATAATAATAACCACTTTTTCATGCACAACATTTTCAGATTACGGTCTACATTTCCGAATAAGTGAGCCAAAATTTTGCTTAATAAACCAGGAATTTTGGCGTAATCCAGTTATGGCATTCATGCTAAAGTTTATATGAGGCTTACATAAACAGAATATGATCCAACCCTGAATATTGTTGTGCATGTAAACACAGTCTATGTATCAGATCTGAGTCAAAGCATCAGTGCTTTATCTGGGTGATGCCAGACATTCGTTCACGGAAAACCTAGCAATGATTATGTTTTTGGCTTTGATTATCATAAACCAATTTACCAGAAATCATTTTGAAAGATGTAAAGCATAAAGACTGCTCTGAACCCTTTGGTTTGCCACATATACTGCCTGACAGCTGTAAGGCTGGGTATCTGAGCATAGATATGAGAACATGTAACAAACTCCTGATCTGGGTGATGGAATATTAAACCAATCACAAAATATCACATGGAAACCAGATGTAGTTCAATGGAATAACAAATCTACATACACCCCTCTAGTTTCCTCTAGACAAAGTAAATAGCACAAGTTTGCTTACAGAATCCCATGGATTTAGGAAATGTAGACGAAGGAAAAGAAAAAGACTGGTGCATACCACAGCATGCCTCCCCTTTCTCTTCTCTTTCACTCCTTTATCTGCAGCAGCAGTATAACCGGCTCAGAAATTCATCAAGATGAGGACTAGCAATAATAATAATAATAATAATAGTCCAGCAGTAGTCCCATAAACGTCGGCGTTCACCTTCTGCAGCTGTCCGAACGCAATACAAGCTCTTCTTTCAGTGGCTGATTGTATTCTGAAAGTTTTCAACAATCTGATTTGTGGTTCTCTTCCCAAACGCAGCACAAAAGACAAAAAGCATCGAGGAAAACCCAGACTGGAATATCAGTTTCTTGTTGGAAAGGAGGGGGCGTTGAAGGAGAGAGAGAGAGAGGGAAAAACAGCTTTGTATCGTTGTGTCTTCCCTTGGGTTCACCACGTTGTTTCGGAGCACTTATAATTTCCTTTGTTGTGTCCAAAACATCCCGAGTTGTCCATGTTTATCACACATTTCAGCCGTCAACACGCGGTCTGTGAGGAACAGCGCAAGTCTCCAGCGGAAAAAAGGACTTCTCCCAGCATAAAGGCGAAATTCAGTGACGGAGCGCGTGTGAATGTGTGTTAATGTGTTTTTTCAGCTTCCCAATAATGGCGGCCCTTCTCCCGTTCTCGGTCTCTCCTCCCTCCTCTGTACTCTCGCGCATAGACACAATTACCGCACACGCGCACACACACACACACACACACACACACACAAGATTGTTTGCACCTTGACATGATTTTCACAACTGCTAAACAAATGTCTCCTTTAAAATACGTGCTTAATTACTTAAAAAGTCACAATACAAACGTAAATAAATAATAGGACAAACAAGCGCACACGCACACACACACACACACACACACACACACAGAGACAGACAGACAGACAGACAGACAGTCAGACAGTATTTATTAAAAACGCCAGCATATGTATCTAAAGGTGCTGCTGTTAGTCCGGTGGAATCAGAATTGGCGTTGTTGTTGTTGTTTTCTTACAAAAACAAATAAGATGCTTGTCAGTAACAAACATTGTCCATATACAGAGGAGAGGATGGGACAATCTCAGCAACTATAAGGTTTTGAGTCAAAAGTCCAGTTAGCCTACAAAAAAATGTATTTTATTATATGTTGGTTTATAAAATTAAATAATAAATCAAATCCAAAACATGAAATTAAATAATAATAATAATAATAATAATAATAATAAAACGTTAAAGATATTAAGGGATTTTTTTTGTCCTGTTCCCAGAACAAGGGTACTTTTCATCGTTGTCACCGATCAAGTTTTTACTAAAACTAAACTAAGAAATGTTAATTGAAATAAAGCTGAAATAAAATAAAAATGAAATATGGATATTAGATGAAAGTCTTTTTTTTTTTTTTTTTAAGTGAGCATTAAAATTACTAACTGGAAATAAAATATATTATTTATTAAACAAAAACTAGCAAAAAAACTAATAAAATGACAAAAGCACATACCAAAATAAACAAAAATAAAAAAATAAAATTAAAGCAGAAAATGTAAAAATACAAGCTCATTAATGATTTTGATAAAAATATATGTATTATAGAAATAATGCTTAAAATTAATTATATAAGCATTACAGAAATAATTCTAAACTATAATACTAAAATATACTATAGTAGCACCATATAAATAATACTAAAATAAAATTAAAATTGGATGAAAAGCCTATATGCTATTTAATGGCAGGTTCCACTGTGACAACTTACCCCAACAGTGGTAAGTGGAATATTAAATATAAGTGGAAGTGAAATATAACTTACCCCAGTGGTGGTATTTATTCGAATATTAAAAATGTGACAAATGACAAGCACTTTTCTATGACATTTTTGATTAATGATTGACCCCATAATACAATATAATATAATTTCCCATGACTCTCCACAAAGTTTTTCTGAATTCTTCAAATGTTGTGCAGCCTTGTCATAATTGTTCCCTTTTTAAATAAAACAGTTTCAAACTCTATTGTCAAGGTGATAAACTATAGATTTGTTTCCACATACTCGTAATTGCCTTCAGCTTTGGCTCTTAAAAAGTTTCTGTTCAGTTCTTCCCATCTCGCCATCATATTGTGAGTCCAATCAGAGAGAGTCACTTGGGGTAAAAGTTTAATAAAAAGTTCTCATGCTTTCTGTTTTTTATCTAAATAGGCCTACAAATCTATAGTGTGGTTTTAATATTACAGAAACAGACGCTAAATCCAGTTATTTGCAGTTAATCATAGCAGTATTTATCATGACACAGTTCAAAAAGAAAAAAAACCCCAGCAGCCTTTCACAACAAACTGCTTTTGGTGAAGTAAAGAAACTGCGAAGGTCTCAGCTCCCACCTCTAGACTGCAGCTGAAATATTTCTAAGTCCCAAGGGCCACCATATTCTTCGCTCTCACAGTTGTGCAATCTCTTAACAATCAGAGCCCCAACCCCCTTCTGAATATGTGCAGAGACCCTGTCCAAGTTATCTGGACAATGTTCTGCAGAAGACAAACTTACTACCCTTAAAAAAGCTGAAGTACAGAACAGAAGTGTGGTGATGTAACACAGATCTGGTTCTCCATTTTATGTGATGTATCCAGAAATATGGCAAGAAATGCGTAAAAGGCTATGATGCATGCATTCAGACTGAACTCACTCTGCAGGGGCCATTAAATGCTATTGTTTTTTATGTGTATAGTTAAGCTGTTGGAATAAGTCTCACAAAAAGGCATAAATTAAAATTAGCAAAGATACACTCAAGCATTATCCCTCGTATAATGTCTGTCTTATATAAAAGTTGAAACCAAAATAATAATAGCTAACATAATAATAATAATAATAATAATAATAATAATAATAATAATAATAATAATAATAATAATAATAATAATAATAATAATAATAATAATAATAATAATAATAATAATAATAATAATAATAATAATAATAATAATAATAATAATAATAATAATAATAATAATAATAATAATAATAATAATAATAATAATAATAATAATAATAATAATAATAATAAATAACATTATTGTTAATACATTTTGGACAGAACCGACAATTTGCACTTTCACAATTGTACAAAAATAAATAAATTTATAAATTAATTCAAATTAAATCTAGATCAGACCATGTTAATAAAATGTATATATATATATATATATATATATATATATATATATAGAGAGAGAGAGAGAGAG